GTTTATTTTCAAAAAACTTAGTACAACATCTTTAGGTCAAAAAGTTTATTTATTGTTAACGAACCTAGTACAACATATTTAACATTTAATATTTAATGTGGAGCGAAAAAAACAGGCAAGCATCAATATAATAATGACAAATGAACTGAATTCACTGCATGCAGAATGGAGTGGTACCAGTTTGTTATCTGAGAAGTGAAGTAATCCCAGTCAATTGAAGCCCCCAAAAGGGCCAAGTGAAAAATAACCCACCTATAATTTTCCTTGGGTGGTATTCAGTGATTTTTGGAAGGTTTAGAATAGATAGGACCACCCATTCTTGAGTTATAAGCAAAGATACATTCAGACATACAGTCATACACTTAATTTTAGATAGATATGAATAATTAAGTATAAGTGCCTGAGCCTAGTTCATCAAGATTCCCCTCCCGCATTTTTCACAGTCAGATCTTGCCACTTATCTCCCATGAGGAACTATCACCCCTGTCTAATCACTCAGATATGAATACTAGCCCCACCATCACCCTTCAGCTGCTTTAGATACAAACTCTATAGCTGGATCTTGTCTCTAATTCTGCTGAAATACTAAAACCAGCCAGATCTACTTCCTAAACCCTGAATGCTGATCATGAAATCTTTGATTCTAGAACCAAAACCTACTTAAACCACCGTTGCAGTGTTTGGTAGAAAGGTACCATGAGAATGCTGTTTGCCCGTTGGCTACAAGTGAACTGGGGATATGAAATATGGCGGCAGTGATCAGTCTGGCAAGAGCCACAGCAAAATATAGAGCAGATTAACAAACAAACAGAGCAACACCTGCAGAGGGAGCAAACAGCATGAATGGACTCTGGCCACCAGGAAAAAAAGCCTTGAACAAGCATGAAAGCAAAAACTGAGTCAGTGTTCAGAGGTGATCATATTTGGAGGGCAGGATGATGGCATGAAGATCAAACCGTTCTTCGCTGTTCCATTGGGAATAAAGGACCAGAACTGAATGAGAGAACAGTGCTTGAAATATGGGAACAACTGATAAAGGTCTATGAAGAATCTTGTGACTTCAGAAAGACTGAGGCTTTAGAGGCATCTGAATTATTTATCCAACCCCTTCTCAAACAACTAGCAAAAGAGGAAGCAAATACTTTGTTGAGTTGCAAACTCTGCTACCACATGTAGTTCTGAAGACATTAAAGATTCCCTAATTAAGAATAGGATTCTTTGTGGGACACAAGCTTCCAATTTACAGATGGGATTGTTGAGAAAAATAAACCTAAATCTAGATAAATGCCTCCAAATAGCAAAGACAGCTGAACTTTCCAGAGAAGGGATCAAAACAAAGGTCACTAGTATATAGGATTCTAATGAAGGAGCCCAGGAAAGAGGACACAGAGAAAGACAGACTGAGATGCAGGCATCATGGTCTAGTGCATATATAGTAGAAAACATCACTAAGGCTAAAAACAGATATTGCATTTGTCCCAGGAAAAGTTGTGCCTGTGTTTGATCCAGAACAAAAAAATCCTAGGATTGGAATGTACACATAAGGCACAGACAGAAGTGACAATTTTCGCCCTATCTGGCCCCTGAAAGAGCTCTACAGGCATAATCTAACACAAGTACATGGCTGCAAAGTGCTTTAAAAGGGCCTGCTCCTGTGACAATCTGAACCCTCATTACATGAGGATTCAGATGAAGGGGTTCCAAAGGGGAGCCCCTTCATTAAGATGTATCTGCATGCACTGGGAGAAGAGCTGGGCTGACACAACCTAGCCCTGCTTCCAATGCTGTTTTCAGAATGGGAGGGTGGAAGGAGCTCATTCTGGGGATTGACCAGCTGGCGCTGGAGGGTAGGGCAGGTGGATTGGAGCTCTAATCCACCCACCCTACCCTCTAGTACTGGGTGGGCAACCCCCAGAATGAACTCCCTCATGCTACACACTTTCCCCTCTCCTGTTCTGAAGACAACAGCAGAGCTGGGAGGTGAGAGGGGTGAGACTAGGGGAGGGTGGCTGCAGTTTCACAACCACTCTAAACTACAGCTCAGTCCCCTAACCCCCAGGACCCAATAGTGAACATCTTTTGGGAGATTGCTGTAACTCATGACACTTTGCAGGAAGTTTCATGAGGTACAACAAGGACCTGCACTTCTGTCTGTGCTTATAATTTCCCCTCTTATCAGGGTTTAAGGGGAGTCTGAATACACTGCTGTCTTTCTGCTGTTGATTCAATGATGCAATCATTGGGAAACTGTACAGATGTAATTTGTAATATCCCAGGGTAAACTGTTACTATCTCTTATCTGTGAAACATTTTTAGGATTTAACCCAGGGTAATGGACATGGTTGTCTATATAATTGCACTTCGTCCTAACAAAATGGTTTATCCTGGGGATAAAAAATGATGTCTGTTTGCAGCAAAAGAGGCTGAAAAAAATCTGTTTTCCATGCAGGGTGGGAAAAGAACCATTTTACATCCTACTGCTGCAGGTAGATTAGGAAGAAAAAGGCAGCAGTACATGCAGTGACTGAGAATACAAAGATGTCTAATGAAGTGGAGAATCTCTGCAGCATGATCTTAGCAGATCCAGACCATTCTCAATGCACAAGCATTGCAACTGCTATCCAGTTTGAAGCTCTGGTGCCATGTTTGCAGATATGCCGTTAGGCCTGTGACCAGTTTGATTCTAATGGGAATGTATAACCATATTAGCCTAGCAAAACTGGAAAACAGCAATATTAGACTGGAGACATGCCACCAAATACTGTTGATATGTAATAGAACTTTTCTGGGGAATATGCAGTCTGTTGATAAGAGACTTTATGATTTTGAGTTGACACAGAAGTGTATCACATTGCTAGGCAGCAGGCCAATATAAGCCATGGCTTTAACCAAAATGTAGCACCAGAATATCTTCAACAAAAGAGGGGAGAAGAAACATCAGCTGTGGAGTCCATGTAGCATTTCAGCAGAGTATGCAAGGATTCGTTTCCAGGAGATGACTCACCTGGAGGGCAGGCTGCAGTTGCAGAAAGGCCCCACATACAGCTCTGAAGACTACTGAAAATGTAGAGTTCCACTACCTCTGATTGGAGCCACCAAAGATTTCCTCCTACAGATTCCAGAAGAGGAATGAGCTGTGTGTGAAAGATGGGATTTTGTTCAAAGGGGGCTAAGCAAAAGTCCCAAAAAGTTTAGAGTTGACATCATAAGCTTATATCAGGACCTGGTCCCAAAACCCAACCCTGGGGCTCAGGTACCAAGCACCAGCTTAGCCCGACACCAGGCCACAGCTTACAATGGAAGGCAGAGTGACAAGGAAAGGGGCACCACTGGGGAAAGGCTTTCTGTCACTGGCCTTTGTTTGGCCTGAGGCTCCCAGCCCCTAATGGATCCTATAGAAATTTTCCCAGGAAACCTATATAAAATTTCCCCATGAAACAGGAAGCCATCTGGACAACAAGGCTCCTGCTGTCCTTGGATTCCTCTACTGTTTCCCTGCATTTGCCTCCTAACTCTAGATCTGACCACTTGTTGCTGACCCTGCTCAGATTTCGACCTCTGCTTTCTGCCTCGTGTTTTGGATTGTTGGAAGTCAGTTCTCACAGATATATGATCTGGCTTGCTCTCTGACCTTGCTCCGTCTAGTGTTTTGGACCTGGCTTGGACTCTGACCCTCTGGCTTTGACCCTGGCTACCCCTCAGATCCCAGATAATGGCTTGTGCAAACCACCAACCAGATACCTAGAGATAAAGGCATGCCTGAGATTAGCTGGGGAATATATCTACCAGCTAGGCAGGGGCACCAAATGGTATACATGGCACCATTCAAGACATATAAAGAATATGCTGATTGAAATCTCAGAAAAGATTAGAATAGACATCCACTTTTAACAGTGAATACTGTGCAGATACAGTAATCCGCTCCAGTTTGAGAGCTGAACTTCTGAAGGAAACTCAGACCGGAATTATGATTAGGAAACTGAAAGCACATTTTGCAAGGGATGATATGTGTTCCACCATAATCAGGTAATAGACTACAGTTCATTATAGTAGAATTTAAACAGGGCAGTACAAAAGAATTTGAATGCAGGATGTCTTCCAATGTTTATCTACACAATAAAAGGTACATCAAGTATACATTAAAGACCACCAGGGTTGGATAGCTAAAGAAACATGGACAGGAAGGCAGCTTAAAATAAGAGCAGTGGACAATATAATATAAAAAAGCAATAAAAGGATAACCAGGTAGACAGACAATCCACTACAAGGGAGCCATTGAGCTGGGGCCACTACAACCAGGTGAGGAGATCTCAGTCAAGCAGCCTCATGAAGCAATGGCAAAAGGCAATTGCCAAGCTGCAGAGTGATACAGGTCATGTGAATTTTGCACAGACTCAGGATAGGGGTGAAGAAACCAAAGATGACTATGGCATAGCAGGAAGCACCTTTTCTAGTACCTCACAATGGAGGTACTAAATTTGATGTGCATCAGCAAAAGTGCATTAATGAATATGTAGACATACCCCATGTAGTTTGGAGCCTTTAATCCAAGAAACCTGGAAGTATTCTTGTGGTAGCAAGTTTCTTGTATTGTACTCTTGGAGGCTATGAAAACCTCACATGTCCACCAGCTGGATTAGTGGTATTTGCTTAACTATCATAAATGTCACACAGAACTGTTGATCGCAGTCACTATGCATGGTGACTCAAAGCATCTCCACTGGAGCATGGCAAAAGACAAAAAGCACAACAGTCACAATTGAAACAGTAGGGCAAATTTTCTTCTCGTTTAAACAGGTGTAAATCTAGAATGTAAGTGAAAAATGAGGTAACTAAATAGGCCTTCCCTATTAAAGCTGTGGCCCTTCATCTCTGTAAAGGATCTTAACCCGTTGCATATATATAGCAACTGCCCGCATATGAAAAGGTTCTGTAGACTCCTTTAGCAGGAATTTGCAAGGATAAACATTAAAGATCTTTCCTTTTCTCTCTCTTTCCAGCTCTTTGAATGCTTCAGGGTGATTCTAGTTCTGCCAGCTGGTCGAGGCATCTCAGATGGTTACTACCTTTGGCACCAGGCAACCCTGAGAGAGTCAGAAGAGCCAGCACTCCAGTACCCAAGCAGCAAATGAGCCTATGTTCCAGATATAAAAATGCTTTTAGAGGAAAGAAGGGCAAGCCCCTGCAGAGTCAGCAGCAGAACAAAATCAGAGTGCCCATACCCCAGCTGCTGTCATCCAAAGTGCTGGCATGCTGGAAGTCAGCACTACTTGCACCACAGGACAGAGACTAGGATGTTAAATTGGTACGTGTCAATCTTAGTACAGCAATGTTATTCCCACGTGGTATACTTTGAGGCAGCAACACAGGAAAGACCCAATACGTCACCTATCTTTCCTCCTTGTGGGGACAGTTAACCTGATACCCAGCCTCACCTTTCCTACCTTTCTGTACTAAGCAGAGCGGGCCATAAACTTTAATTCCTGTTCTGCTGGAAATTCCATATATATATATATATGGAAGTGAGCTGAAGATGTGGAATTCCTGTTCCGTAAGAGATTTTTAAAAAATGTTTCTATTTTGTGTCAGAAGACTTTAAAACTAAATTTTATATATATATATATATGTTTTAAAGTCTTCTGACACAAAATAAAACCAATTTTTTTAAATCTCTTATGGAAAGGGACTCTCTTACGTTTTCTTTCTTTATGTGTCAGATCCTCCAAAGGCCTACATTTTGTGTTGCTCTTCCCTGACTGCTATCCTATTGATTAAAAACTTTCTGGTAAAAAAAACAGAAAACAGTTTTCCAGGGGGGACTAACACTCCCTGCACTGGGTCATGATGCCTCTTATGTTGAGATGTCCAGAATTGAATGCAGGAGCACCAAGAGGCTCCAGTTCAGTGATTCTGTATTCACTTACAGTGTGTAAAGAGTTTTGAATTCTTTCACCATAAAAGATAAAATGTTCTTGCTGAGCCACTGTTTTTGTATTCACTTGAAAAGATGAGAAAGTAAAAAGTTGGATTAGTGGTATTTGTAAAAAGTAGGATTTAGAAAACAAAACAAATAGTTATAGGCTTTAGCCTACTCCATTCATCAAAACTCCACAACTGCCATTTTAAGAAAGCTATAATTAAGCAAAAGTTTGCGGCCAGTGTCTTTCAGTAAACTAATTTTAAAATGTCAGTGTTTACCACTCAGCTTTTGCCAGGTTTGTTAGTTGCTTTCCCTGATGCATCCTTGACAGTCAACAGCTCAAAAGATGCCCATAGTGACATTTTCTGTTCTTGTGTAGCTGTTAAACACCCAGAGATCAACAGACTGCCTTTCACTGGGTGATCTTTTTATCAAGGTATTGAAACACTCTTAAAACTTCCATTGTGTTTTAAAATGCAAAAGTATTTTTAAGGGGTATAGGTTGTAGCCATGTTAATCTAAAGACATAGGCAGACAGGGTTCTTTGGGTGAATCTGATATCTTTCATTAGACCAACTGAATAGTTGGGAAAATTCTTCTTTGCAAGCTTGCCGGTACAAATAATCTTCATCAGGCTGAGTATTTTTAAAAGTGAAAGTATTTTAAAGTCTCTTTTGTAACCAAAGAAATATACATAACGACTCAGTACATCTTCACCATCCCTAGAACTGCAGGGGCTGTTAAACTTCAGTTCTTACTGTGTTAGGCCCCAATGCCACAAAAACTTACATACACCCTTACCTTTATGCATTCTGATTCCAGTGGGACTGTTTGTATGCATACAGTTATAAGCACATATATACATGCTTGCAGGATCAGGGCCTCAAGTTCTAGAGCGTTTATAACTTTAAGACAAGTTGTTACATTGGCTCAGGGGAATGTAACTAAACTGTAGTGGTCATTTCTTTGCACTAGCAGCTAGTTTGGTTCACTATGGCTTAGTAGTCAGGGATGGGGTGGCAGACTTGGTAAGGTATCAGCTTTTCACTAGACTTATGCCTAATGCTGGTCCCAGTTAACCCAATGGGTACCTGTTTGATTCAGCTGGGGAACAGAGAAAACTGGACATCAATGTTAGTGACATCACTCCCCGGTGTGCTGTTGGCTACAGAAACTGGTGTGCCCTAACCACACTAGCCCAATGGCAAACGGTGGCCAACTGACAGGCAGGCTTGATCTTCATTTCCATGTTCTTGTTCCTTCAGCATAGCTGCATTTCTTGAGCCTGTCACAGTGGGAAAATATGGCATTTGTTCACTGGCAAAAATCACTTTTATCAGAAATCAGCTTTTAAAGTATAAATATGTGTCCATGGTGAAAAGAAAAGTGTTACATGTGAGGATCCACAGCTTTGTTAATATTACAGTGCCATCCACAGCTTAACCTCAAAAGGCACTTGGAGGAAAGCAAGGGGAAATAAAAGGGTTTCCTGCAGCAGTAATCAATTTCCGGGTTGCAACTTCCTCAAGAAGCTAGCCACCAGTTTTCTGGGAACGTTACAAGCCTATGTCCCCTCCCATTTCATTCATTCTCTGAAAGATATGCTCAGCACTGGCTTATGCACAGTTTTTGCAATGTTTTAATTGTACTGATTTTAAACTGGTAGTATTAAAGCCACAGAGCCAGCTGGATAAGGTGTAAAAGGTGCCTTATGCTAGAATCATTTATTTGTGTAGTTTCTGGGACTAACTTATGTGACATGATCTGGTGGAAAGAAAAAAGAAAGGGTAACATGGATAAGAGAGGCTTTGTTTGAATCAAATCCCATTGGGAAAGGATGGTAAAATAGAATCTGTTTGGGTAGAGTTTTAGCCCCCAGAGTTGTATTTTGACTGGAACAGAGAAGTCTGTAAGGTTATTACATTCTGCCAGGAATTGTATCATTGTGGGAGACTTTAAGGCTGCCTATACACTTGCTCAGAGGTGAGGAGGAGTGGAGGTGTTTTAATTAGAGCAGTTCCTACACAGCCACAGTTATTAAAATGCCTCACCATCATGTGTTTTAAGCCCCTGCACCATGAGTGACTGGTGCCTCCTGAATCTGGGGAGGGGGGGCACCCACAGAAGCCACTGCCAGTAGTGGCCCTGTCAAGGGGGGCACCAGCCCTGCTGACACCATCACTGTCGGCCATCAGGGGGGCACTGGCCCTGTCGGGGGGGCACATGCACCCCCATGCACCCCCTACCAGTCTTCTATGCCCTGCACATTTCAAAATGGCTGTGGGGGCGCTTTAGTTAAACCTCGTTTAATGAGGTTTAGCTAAAGTACCCCTGTGGCCATTGTAAAATGCATGGGGGCTTAAAAAATGTGACAGTGAGGCAATGCTGGAGGATTCTAATTAGAAGGCAGAGCAGACTCAGTTAATCAAATCTGCTCTAATGCGTTCTAATTAGAACACAAACGAGCACGTGTGTAGGCAGCAACTGTTCAGTTACAGACTCAAGAACAAATGCAGCTAATAGGGCTCAAATACTCCTGGATGTAGCAGGCAACAAAATTCTTTCCCAGTCTTTGAGGCAACAAGAAATATTGCTATTTTAGCCTTGGGTTTTGTATACAATAAGGATATTAAACAGGAGCTGGTTATAGAAAATAGCATTTGATCAAGTGACCATGACAACCCCACTGAAATTAAATAGAAGGAAAACAAAAGTAGGACTGTAACCTAGGTTCCCAATTTCAAAAGGACAAAAGTGATAGACTGTGGCAACTAATTAGTCTTGTAATCTCAGCTGAGGATCCCAGGGACTTGAAAGCAGGGGAGGCCTGGAACTATTTTAAGTCAAAGGTGCTAAAACTATCAGGGTCTGTATACCAAGCAGAGAGAAAACTTCATCCAGATCTAACTGGATAAAGAACCAGCTCTATCACTAATAAACAGAGAGTCTCTGAAGAACAAAACAAAGAACTCATCAACTAAGATGAGTTCTTTCACGCTAGGAAATCTGGTCGTCACACCAGACAACTAAGCTAACTTATTTAACAATTTCTTTGCCTCCATTTTCCTGAGCAGGAGCCAGGTCACCCCCTCCACCGGGACCTCTGTAGGCCCCAGGGGAGGCACACCCAGACCTAGGGTCAGTGAGGATCTAGTCAGGGAACTTCTGGAGGGACTGG